TAATATACCCTTAATAATTATGTGTTAGCTAGAACCCGTAATATGTGCAACTACTACAAGAATCACTTTGAGAAAAAAAAAAAGAATAAATATAAGAGATAAGGTATGATGGGGTCTTATATTTAGGATTAAATTGAATGTTAAACTAATTCTTATATTAAGGACTGGAACTAATATAATTTAAGATTACATCCAGACCATTAAGATTAAATTTAGATGATAAGTTGAATATCTAAATTTAATCAGAGGATGCACATGTAGAAACACGTAATAAGGCAAGGGCTTCCCCAGCATGCATTTTCTGGGATACCCTAAGTTTCCTGTAATGTTCATAAGAGAAAGGAAGAAAGAGACGAGGATGATGATCAGAGTCCACAAGCTCCTCTGGCGCTTCTATATCTCCCTCCTTTGGTCCCAACAGGAATGAAGCTATTGAGATTCTCACACTAGCTTCCTTGCATTCTACTCTATGCTTCACTGTCCCGAACCTGCCATTACTCCATACCTACACACATTTGAGCTCGTGTTTTACAGAGAGTCTAAAATACAAGTTCTATTATTCACTTCATAATTTGTAAATGATAATATTTTCTTATACATACGTATATGAATTTAGATCCGCTCAAGTTGCAACCCCTCAATTTGTTTCAATTTTAAGTTATAGTTTGGGTCGATTGAACAGTTTAAACTTGTCATTTTTATAGACATTGTAGTTCAACATAAGAAAGAAACAAATATTATATTTCCCTGTTTTAAGGGGGGGGGACAATTTAAATTTTTAATCGAAATAACGTAGGAAAACGATATCGATGTTGCATCCTCCTAATTTAGGAAGGAAAGAACAGAGTAAACATTTAGATGAATCAACTGTTAAAAATTAAAAACCAGACAAATTGAGGGAATTTGCAAATTCCATGAGCATAGCGTTCGGGCAAGTTTACGAAAAATAGTCATACTTTCAATCATTTTAATTTGGAAAATCTTCTTCCATTAATAAAAAATTGTCAAGACCTAACAAATTTCAGAACTTGATGATGATTTAAGATTGAAAGCCAACAGATATTATAACTTACATGAGCAATATCACCAAGAACGGCAAAGAGGGTTCCTGGGCAAGGAGGCACATCCACAAAGGAACCAGACTTGTTCATGACTTGAAGGCCTCCCACATTTTCATCGTCTTGCAGAATGGTGAGGAAGCTTGAGTCTGTGTGGATCTGTACACCAGTTGACCCTATACTTTCTGGTGTGAAACTGTACTTGTTAATCCTAAACTGACATGGCCATCCCTTAAAATATTCAACTCCTTTCAATCCCAAACTCTCTGCCATCTTCTTTGATATATCCATCAACAACTCATGAATTGCTTTCCCATATGCTTCTATGACCTTCCTGCATCCCACACATCACAAACACATACATAGTTTGGACGACGACAACAACAACAAGCCTTATCTAACTAAATGAGGTCAACTACGTAAATATAATTTCATTAGATTCTATCAATAACTAACTAGTTAGATCTATTATACACTATGAGATCCTATTTCGGAACTTCCTTACAATGTCCTCATTAAATTCCCCTTATACCGTCCTTTCATAGGGCTTAAAGGCCATTTGTCAACACAAAAGTCACATAAGGCCATGCCAGTGACACTTATAACAAGCATTTTCTTTTCGGTGTGAATTTGGATGCAGCAAAAGGCAATAAGAATCCATCTCAACTGCCCATTTGCAACTTCACAAGACCACGCCAGCTTCATCCCAACTATCTATAAAATATTCCCAAGACCCGTTTTCATCAAAAAGCACACATCACCTTCGTGCAAACCACACATGATCTCTCTCTGAAGTGTGTTTGGTTTTTTTAGAATTTTTCTCACAGGCCTTGTAATTGGTGGTGTCCACTACCACTACATAGACACACACTGACATTTTTGCCCCCACTGTGGCTGCTTGCAACGAGACAAAGCTTTTCCTAAATTAATTGATGATATTATATATACAACTGTAAGGGAAAAGAGATAGATAGAAATTACGTTTGGTGCGGAGAGGCGTCTAATCGAGAGCAGAAAGATAGAACGGCGTGAGAAGAAGCCATGTCGTAGAGTCCCAAAGCCTCGTAGAGAGGATTCACCGCACTTGGAGCCATATAGCCACTTCCTGCAATTACTTGTTCAGTGTTTCGCATCTTGATCTCTACAGGAAGATCAAGTAGCGATCTCACCACTTTCTTCATCTCAGACATTAGGTTTGAATCTATCCCATGGTTCGTCACTCTGAAACATCCCCAATCTTCGCACGCCTCTCTCAGCCTCTTCATCTTCAGCTCTTGAGGATTATCTGCAGATTCTTGCAGATCGATCACTGGCACGTCGCTCATCTTTGCCACGACTTTTTCCCTCCTCCTCCACTGCCTGTTCCTGCTGTCGATTTCTTGTCCTGACCGAGAACAAAGCGCGATGATATGGAGGCCATAGGGGTCCCACCATATTACCAGTTGGCCGATGCTTGTCAAATTTATTGGACAATGTTTTTTTTTTTTGTCCTTTTTGGTTAATAGAGATTAGAAGGGCAGCAAGATCAAATCCCGGAACAGATACACAGTGTGGGGTGCGCGTAAGTGTGAAAGTCCTTTTTATGAGAAAAGGATGAGTGGGGTAAATAAAAAAAAATTTAAGAGACAGAAGATGATAAGAGACGCAAAAATTGTGCTCAAGACAATGTGAGAGAGACATTAGCTGTTAGAGTTAGGATGATAAGAGATGCAAAAATTGTGCCTAAGAGAATGTGAGAGAGGCATTGGCTGATATAGTTACTTATGTATGGAAAAAAAAAATGTTGTTAATTTCAATTCAAAACTTATTATTTTTCAATTAAAATTTATTATTTCCTAATGAAATATTGTCATAATCTGAAATCAAGATAAAAGGGTTAACTTATATTTAATTTTATTGGTCCAAGTGACCATTAGATTGTGGGATCAAATTCTTTTCTACTTTCCTAAAAAATTTTCCCTCCTCTGGCCCAAAAAAAAAAAAATCCCTCTCACCTGCAAGGGCTTCGGTGAGGGGTTCAAAATTTTTTTAATTAAAACAAACAAAATGGAATTTTTGTCATTACCTTTGAATTTCAAAACTTAAATTTGGGTTTACATTTTCTTTGTCATTTTGAAATGTTATGAATATTATAATTTCAAAGTTCTTTATCTGAAATTTTTTCTTTGAAAAACTCTAGGTATTTTTTGCACCTAAAAAATTTTTATGGTGCTTGGTGATCCTAGTAGAATATTTTATGGATAAGTTTGTACCTTAATCTTATATTTATCAATTCCTAAACCTTGTTTCTGTACCTTGTCCTATGAGTTCTTTTTCTCCCAGTGGTAAAAGAAAGTTAGCTTATTTGCCATAAAGTTATACTACCTTAGATAATTAATTTACAAATATTAAAAAAATTAGTTAAATTAGTGATTCACTTATTTGTAATGAGTATGAGTTATATTCCTCAAAATATTCTTATTAATTATGTGTATTTTACTTGGTAGAAAACTTTTAACATGTATAATCATCATAAGAATTACTTATGGGCAAAAGATAAATATGAAAAACAAAGTAGATTAATATCTTATATTTATGATCAAATTAAATCTACTACTAACTCTTATATTAAAAATTGGTAACAGTATTTTGCAAATTATCCTTATAAAAATTTGGCGGAATGAAAATCAAACTGATAAAAATTGATAGGAGTGGCAAAATGGAGCCGAGTAAGAAATATCTATATAAAACAAATTATTGGTATGCTTGAAAAACGCGAGGAAGCACTTCCTTACCTATGGCATGATAGAAATTGGAAATAATGAACACGAAAGTAATGAAAATGGACAGACATAAAAAAACCTCAACATTCCTAATCATAAGTGTCCACCAGGAATGAAAGTATCCAGCTGCAAGTTGGATCGAGCTCGTTTAGGAAAATTGTGAGGGACGGAATTTAAAATTTTGTTATTCAAATGGTAAGTGAGCCCATATAAGGGTTGGGCTTCGTAAAATGACCTTGTTTTTTTTCTAAAATTAACCCATTTAGGCCCATGGCTTGTGAAAGCTAGCCCTGCAGGACTGACCGTTTACGGAAGGCAACTTAACATGAAGGTATGGGGCCAGGATAGTCTTTTTAATTTGTAAAACTAATTTCCATCCAAACCGCGACGTCCCAATTTCCATTGTCTTTTGAATGTAATGAAAATCAAAGAAATTTAGCAGAGGGAGTTTAATCCCTATAGATTTGTTAGTGGTGTTTTATTAATCACTGATCATACACTCAAAGCCTCTGACTTTTTATAATGTTTTGAAAAAATGAAATTAGCAAAAGAAACCCCAAAGTAAAGTAAGACTCTCCTTTAATTTATAAAGCAAAACTAGACGGATCAATAAAATACTAAACAATAATTCATCTTACATCACCTTCATATTCTTTTAATTTTATATTACAAAATAACCCTACTCCGAACAAGTTTGGTTTTATAATGAATTTGGAAGTGTAAATTTGTTAGCAGTAATTATTTATTTCTTTGCTTAAAGAGATCAAAATGATTTATCTAGTTTAAAACTTGAGACGCCCAAAAACAAAAACCAAAATAACTAAACATGAAATTCTTCATTAAAAATAAACCATGAATGATGTTAAATATTTTTTTTTCTTGGGATGAGGTATGAGTATAAACCCAAAGTTTACACCCTCTATATATATATATATATATATATATATATATATATGTATATAAATATATAAATATATATGCTAGGTATAAAATTCTTCGTCATAATCATCAAACTGAGAATGATTCTGAATACACATAACTTGATGGGCTCTAGAAATAAGATGATTTATACGGATGACTTCCCTGCAAATGTCTGTTGTGATTTAAGACTACATCGAGGGCATTAAGAACTCATAATTAGATTATTTATTGATTTATTTTAAATCTAAATAATCCAAATTTAATCCGCGCGTAAGAAGGCGAGGGCTTCTCCGGCATGCATTTTCTGAGATACCCTAAGTTCCCTGTAATGTTCATAAGAGAACGGAAGAAAGAGACGAGGATGATAATCAGAGTCCACAAGCTCCTCTGGTGCTTCTATGTCTCCCTCCTTTGGTCCCAATAAAAATGAAGCTATTGACACTCTCACACTTGCTTCTTTGCACTCTACTCTATGCTTCACCATCCCGAACCTGCCATTACTCCATACCTACACACATTGAACTCGTGTTTTGCATACAAGTTGTATTATTGATTTCATAATTTTGTAAATAATACAATTTGATTATGCATCATAAACACATGTATTTGGATATTCTAAAAGTTGCAATCTCCTCATTTTGTTTCCATTTTTAAACTCTAGATTTTGAATCAAGTCAGGAACATTTCTGCAAACCAAACAATAGTTTTACATAGCAAAAGCAAGTTTTCTAAAACAGAGTAGCCAAACATATGTTTCACATTTTATATTCATCAATTTATAAAAATTTACCTAACTTAAAATATGAAAGAAATGAATATTATTGCATTCTCCTTGGGAAGGAAAAAAGTAACATAGTTCATCAATTCCTGTAAGTTATACCCCTTCCGTTCTTAATATAGGACCTAATTAAAAGGTTGATCTTAGTTCTAAATATAGGACATATTTCTTATATTTACCAATTTTTTCCTAAATTATCCCAATTAAATAATTAAATACCACAATAATACTTATTATTCATTAATAATACACCTATATATTTTATAAAATGAGTGAGTATTTATTACTCATTAATTCCACACATGCATCAAATATCAATTCTACCGTTATATATTTTTAATAAAATAATTTAAAACATTTTTTGAAGTGTCAGTTTTTTAAAGAAGTTTTAACTAAGGGTGTTTTGAAAAACATATTCCTTATTTATGATTATTACCTAACTTAACTAACTTTTTTAATTTAATCAAAGTAGTTAAATAGGTCATATACTAAGGACGGGAGGAGTATTACCTATGATTCTTTTTATAAGATCCAAATAATTAAATTATGTACGTAGTTTAGAAAGGAAAATTTTAAAATCTCAAATCAGGAATGACTACAAAAAAAAATATTATTATTTGCTTTTCAAATATTGTCAATTGTTATTAAAGTATAGTAAACAAAACTGATTTGAAATTTTGAAATTTAAAGGTATTTTTTGGAATTCTCCCTTTAAGAAACTATTGAAATTAGTTAAAAACAATAAATATGTAAGAATTTTTTTTTAAAATATGCCTTTATTTATAAGAGAGTAAGCATGAGAGAGAGAGAAATGGTGAGAAAAATATTTTAAAAAATATATAAGATAAAAATACATTTAATATTCAGACAACTCGTAACTGGCTCTTATAAAATAGACCAGAGGGAGTATCATTCTTTTGAGTGTTAACTTTTCGCGGAACAAAATCATCTATCAAAGTTTTACAATCGAACAACTATATCGTACATTTCAATCTCTAGTTGACAATGATTTAATATTGAAGGCCAAGAAATATTAGAACTTACATGAGCAATATCACCAAGAATGGCAAAGAGACTTCCTGGGCAAGGAAGCACATCCACAAAGGAACCAGACTTGCTCATGACTTGAAGGCCTCCAACATTTTCGTCATCTTGCAGAATAGTGAGGAAGCTTGAGTCTGTGTGCATCTGTACGCCAGTTGACCCTATACTTTCCGGTGTGAAACTGTACTTGTTAATCCTAAATTGACACGGCCATCCTTTAAAATATTCAACTCCTTTCAATCCCAAACTCTCTGCCATCTTCTCTGATATATCCATCATCAAGCCCTGAATTGCTTTCCCATATGCCTCTATCACTTTCCTGCTTACCACATTTTACAGGCAAGGTAAAAACTGAATTGTTTGATTAAACTAATCGAGACAGTATTTCAGAGATCAGTGATCCAATCATAGTTAAATCAAAGTCAACCCAATCATGATTATGAGAATATATTTTAATTAAAAATATACAAAATATTCATGTATAATTCTAAAAAATTAATATTTAAATAGAAAGACATTAATCTACAAGGAAATAGAACATCTATATGCTACGGATAATAAACCTGTGTTGTTTAAGCCTTAGTAGGAGAAGGCCAAAAAAAAAAAAAAATTCAATATAACCCAATCGATTCATCCAAAGTTCTTAACTGGATCGGTCAGCTGAAACTGATTTATCAGTTCATTGATTTGACTGGCCAATTCAGATTGAGTTTTATAATAGCATGGTAATACAATGAATAAGTGTAAGGAAAAAGAGATAGAGAGAGAGAATTACGTTTGGTGGGGAGAGGAATGTAATGGAGAACAGAAAGCCTGGACAGCTTGAGAAGAAGCAATGTCATAGAGTCCAAAACCTTCATAAAGAGGATTGGCTGCACTTGGAGGCATATACCCACTTCCTGCAATAACATCACTATTTCGCACCTTAATCTCCAGAGGAAGATCAAGCAAAGATCTCACCACCTTCTTCATCTCTCCCATCAGCCTCCAATCAATACCATGGTTCTTCAATCTGAAACATCCCCACTCTTCACATGCCTCTCTCAGCTTCTTCTTCAGTTCTTGAGGATTCTCTGCAGAATCTTGCAGATCAATCACTGGGATGTTGTTGTTGTTGTTGGTTGCCGCCATGCCTTCTCCTCCTCCTCCTTCTTCTTCGCCTGTGGTTTTTTCTTCATGAACACTCACCTTGTTACCTCCCTCTGCTTTTATCTCCATCTTTTCTTGCCTAACACATCGTTTCTGGGGATCTTTCTGATGAATTTCTTCATAGCTTTGTCCTGTTCTTGAACCGTTTTTCTCTTACCTCTATGTTTTTTCTGGGTCCCACCATGGTTCCATTTAACTGAATCACATGAGTTCAAAAGGTTTGTTGAAACTAATTTAGCTTCTTCTCCCCCCCCCCCCGCCCCAAAAAAAAATTTTAGGCCAACATTATTCCAAAACTACTCTTTAATTTTTTTTGTCATTACAATTTTCTCTTTCTTCATCGATATTGTTGAACCAAATTATTAAGTCTTAATCGTAAGGGTTATTTTTGAAAAATATATAGGTCAAGTTCATTAAATTTATTATGTCAAGTTTTTCAACCACACATGGTTGTATGTCATATTTTTTCACATGAGTTTATAATTAAATGATAATATTTTAAAAATAGAACATATAGTCATACGTGATTGTAAAACATAACATAATGAATTTATTTGACAAAGAAACGTAGGAAGTACAAGTATTGAGAGACCATCTTTTTTCTTGTGCCCTTGTACTGGTTCCAGACAACGGGGTTTATATAAAGTGCAGATTGACTAATAGTTTATCAGTATCACTCTTCTAGTCTTTAATATAAGACTTATTTAACTAATTTGATTAGATTAAGAAAGTTAGATAAGTTAGTTAATTATAAAAAATATGATATGTTTTTCTTAAAACACTGTAATCATCTTTTTTAATACCCTCTCTCATTCTTTTACTTGATTATGATTAAGGGAGTATCAATATGAGTAATTTAGAAAAAAAAACTAATAAATATGAGAAATATGTCTTATATTTAGAATCAAAATCAACTCAGTAATTAAGTCCTATATCAAAAACTAGAGGAGTACTATTTTTCCAAAAGCTTTACTATTTTTTGTTTTGATGACAATGAACGATAACGAATTAAGAAGCCATGAAGGTTATGCTATAGTATGTTCGGTGTAACGGAAATGCCTGACTCATCCTCCTTTCTTATACTTCCTCTGGTTCTTAATATAAGAATTAAATAACTAATATAAATATTAAAAAATTAACCAAATTTGTTATTTGTAACACATATGTGTTGATTTTTCTATAATATTCTTTTTAATCATATGCATTATAATTATCTATTGATGAAAATTTTTATAATATGTATAATCATTAGAGATATTTTGATGAAAAATTATAAATTTGATAGGCTAAGTGAATTGATATTTTATATTGAGAATCAAAATAAACTCATTTGTCTATTCATATATTTAGAACTAGAGGCGTAGTATTTTTAATAGCCTCTTTCCCTTTCTTTTAATTTTTCTCACTAATACCAAAAAAATTGTAATGGACATTTTACACCAATTGTGGTGGGAAGGATGTAAAAACTCAATAGTATTTTCTTTTTGGGGATAAAAAACTCTATAGCATTTTCATATGAGATTGTTGACTTTCTACACTGATTCTATATTAACAACTGTTATAGAAAAGACCTTTTATACCCATTCAAACAAGCAAACTAAATAATTATTTAAGTTATTGAAAAATTTACCCTTTTCTAACTAGTGACAATTACAACCGGTGTAGGAAGTGAAGAAATATTTTGTTATCCTTTAACTTTTTTTACATCAATTAAAAATAATCGGTGTTGGAAATCCTTTTTCAGTATCAACGGAATTTATACCAATTACGAAACCACGGTAAAAATCCTCTTGTTAACCTTTTTGAAAAGGCATTAATGTTGCATTAGTGTCTACTCCTTCGCAAAAATGGATGAATTTTAGGAAGAAGAAAAAAATCACTTAGCTTTTTCTCCCTTATCACCATATAAAAAAACGCCTGGCTTATTTTGAATAAATTAATGTCAATCATTTAACCAATGTTTTTTGGTAGGCATCATTTAACCATTGTTGATTACGTACGAAGAAATTTGATTGTATGGATTAGGGATCCAAATAAACTAATAAAAGAGAAAAATAGAGAAAAGTGAATATTAAGAAAAGTGTACATTGGATTCTACTACATAACTTAATAAAAAGAAGTTGTGTATCTAAATTGCATTATTGAATGCAAATGATAGGCATCGTCTTATTGAAAACCATCTTGTCTGAAATACTGTCAAGTATTAAATGTAGATGCTTTCTCTCAACAAGAATTTGAATCTTGGTTTGTCAAGTTATGAGAGAGACTAACCATTTTTACTAAACCCAACCCCTCATTGGTTAGGATTCAAGATTTGAATGGGCGTGTAGGAGGGCTAGGGCTTCACCAGCACGCATGTTCTTAGATAATCTGAGCTTCTTGTAATATTCATAAGCAAATGGAAGAAAGAGAGGAGGGCGATCAACAGAATCCAGCAATTCTTGGGGTGCTTGTATTTCTTCTTCCTTTGGCCCCAGTAGAAATGAAGCTATTGAAACCCTAACACTCGCCTCCTTACATTCTACTCTATGCTTCACGGACCCAAACCTTCCATTGCTCCATACCTTTATCATGTTACAAATTAAACTTTCAAGCTCATCAAAATTGTATCAGCCAGTAAACTAACTAATCAGTTTGGTCTAATAACATGCACAAACATACAAAATGTTCAATCTATATATATAATATGTGAAGTACCGATAGATTTTATTTTGTGGTAATTAAGGAGGCGGAACAATTTGTGGGGACCCCGCACAGAACCTCTCCTATGCCTTGCCCTGCTCTTAGCATCCTCTTCCTTAATCCTCGTCCTTCATTTTATCTACATCCTATTTTATAACCCATTCTTACTTTTTAAATACTCATAGTTCAGATTTCACATAATGCACAAAATATTAAATTGGACTAGTTACAAATTCAGTCATCAGATGGTGCGTGATGACCTTATGTGATTTTCTTTTTCTATAATTGATAATAAAAAATTAAAATTTGTCTTAAAATACCACTTAATAAAGCTTCAAATTAAGAAAAAACAAACATCTAATTCATAAGATTGATTTCTGAAAATATAAGATATTGCAACTTATATTAATTTTCTTTTAAAAATGAGATATAGCAATTTGTATTAATCTTCTTATTAAAAAAATAAGATACTGCAATTTATACCAGATTGATCTTGCAGTGTTAAGTGTGTGTTGTTAGGCATAGATGAAATATAGGATGAGGATTAAAGAAGAGGATGATAAGAGGAGAGGAAGACATATGAGAGGCTCCGTGCCCCCCGGGGGGACCCATGGTGGCTTCAATTTTAGGGATCAGCATAATAATGAAAGACAATCTACCATTAATTTAAAGAGATGACTAGTGTATAGAGTTGGGGTAGCCAAGAGAATATGCTAAAATGGACGTATGATCATAAGAAAAGATAAGATTCATAATGAATATATAGGATGAAGAATTTGTGTGACAACTATTAAAGAGAAAAAAGAGGTGAGATGATTTGGGCATATACAACATTACAAACAGGGCCATTAGAAGTGTCAGGGAAATTGATAGATTAGACAATATAGAGTTTGAACTGTTAACGATTTATCCAAAATTTTAATTGTTACAAAACATAATAGTGCCGCATGATCTTAGCTCATCTGACCTAGTGAGATAAGACTTATTAGTGGTTTTTAATTATAAAATTCCAGTTAATTCTAGTTTCAATATATACTTTTTTCAACACGAGTCTTAGATAATTAAATTCATTAATAAATACGTTATTCTGAATATAAACTACAAAAATGAACAAGTCAGCTGAATTGAGTTTAAAAACCAAGTATTGTACAATTTGATTTGCTTGATTAGGGTTTAATTAAGAGGAAGCTAAAGAACTTACATGGGCAATATCACCAAGAATGGCGAGGAAGCTGCCAGGGCAGGGAGGGACATCCACAAAGGAACCAGACTTGCTCATGACTTGAAGGCCTCCAACCTGTTCATCATCTTGCAGAATGGTGAGGAAGGCACAATCTGTGTGGATCTGTACACCTGAGAACCCCACAGTTTGTGGTGTGAAGCTGTACTTGTTGATCCTGAACTGGCATGCCCATCCCTTGAAATAATGTTCACATCTTCCTTCTTCTAACCCCAAGCTCTCTCCCATCTTCTCTGCTATCTCCATCAACACCTCATTCACTGCTTTCCCATACGTCTCTACCACTTTCCTACATACTTCATTATTAAGATCCACGTATTTCATCTCGTGTTTATAATTAAACATATGTCTCCATCACTTCCCATATGTCTCAATTAATATTCATATTTTAATTAATAATTATTAAGATCCACACAAAAATGTAAAATGTTTTCCACATGAGAAATAGAAGGGGAGAAGAAAGGCGACGGTTTGAAAGAGTGATTCAAGGGTCGATTAATATAATTGTATATAATTTAGTTAAACTTGAAAAAATAATATTTAAAAAATAGGAAAATGATTAATTCACAATAAATGAAACACTACTCATGTACAGATATACTATATATATAAACAAAAAAATATTAAAGCACAAATATAATGCTTTTGCTGTTTCTTTTTAACTCAAAATAATGTCATTTCAAACTCAATGAGAAGAGAAAAACTATACTTTAAAGTACTTTCTTCAATCCTAAATATAGGATAATGACAAGGGGCTTACTTTAATCCCGAACATAAAACTTTAATCCACTTTGTATGTTTTTCAAATTTATGAATTTTTTTTTGGAGGTATCCTTATTTATTGTGTAACATCCTTATTTTAATCCAGTATTTAATTAAATTTATAAATAAATATATTTTAGTATTAAGTTTAAAAAAAAAAAAGAAGTTAGATATAGGCAAATTATTATTATTATTATTTTAATAATGTTTTTGTATGTGATTGTGTGTGTGTGGATGATATTCTAGAAAATTAAACCATGGTATAGAAGTCCCACATCGACTAATTTTTAGAGTGAAGGAGTTTGAGGAGCCTATATATAGGAGCTAGTGGGTGGAGCTTGGAGTAAGTAAATAATTTTCGCACATATCTGAGGTAGTCTCAGAA